GCGGTTTTGTGGGGGTGGGGAGGGGGGGGGTGGGGGGGGGGGGGGGGGGGAATCTTGTGCCATGGCGATGGATTAGTGTTTTACTTTCCAGGTTAACTTTAAGTATGCACTATTCCAACCATAAAGCTGAGACTGAGACTGATTTAAGACAGTGTTAAAATCTCAACACTGCAGGTCCTCGCTTTGCCTCCGCGCCATGGTTCCAAATGATGTAATTAGATCAAAGCCACATTGTCTCAACTTTGTTACGTTTCGTCCAGCCCTGCATCAACTTATACGACTGTATAATAGATGTAAGTGGGAGGCTCTTGAATAAGTTCTTCTGTATGGCTCTCTTAGGATGGTTCTGCCATGGGAGTGCTTTGTCACTCTGGTTGCCCAAATCAGGGATATATAAGGGAATGGTGGGTGCAGCAAATGTTCGGTAGCATGGTAGACAGAGGAAAGGGAGGAGGAACTCTGCTAGAGTAGATCACGGCACATTGTGAATGATTTTGGGGGTGTGGGGCCCCTCCTTCTGGAAAGGGAGGGGCGCTGCAGGACGATCGCCACTTGGGGGCATAGAGAGAGCAGTAAAGACTTTCTTGTTTCAGCATGGAGCAAAGAGACTTAAAGTGACATTAAACCCTCAGATTTTTTAACATAAAACAATACTGTAATGTGTGCCTTACTGTAATCCATGTTTGTTTCCCTTCTCTTTGCTGCTCTTACTTTTAAATCTGTATCTGTTCTCATGCTGGGCAGAACTTCTGTTTTGCAGCAGACTGCCTTGTCTCTGGAATGGCTACATGGTGTCTGTGTGTACGTTTGCAACCTGAGCCAGCACTACAGGAAGAGGCATGAGAAGACATGAGGATTTAAAAGGAAGAGCAGCAAAGAGAACGGAAACAACCATAGATTACAGTAAGGTGCACATTACAGTATTGTTTTATGTTAAAAAATCTGAGGGTTTAATGACACTTTAATTAGAGATGGTGGCACTAGCATACTTTATGTTCAAATTTGTCTTAGGATGTGCATCCCTGTTGGGAAGTTCAATTCCAGCAAAGTTTCCAAGTTTCCTTTACAAGTAAGAGAAACTGGGTGTGACTCTTTCTTCCATCTTATGGGGGCTGAAGAAGGGCTGAGAATCACCTAACATATGGTTACAAGTGTGATGGTTATCCGCTGTGTCAAGAGTTGTAAGTGGTGTACTGTGATTAAGTCTCAGGAGTGTAGTACTTGAAGACATGACCCTTGGAGTTACTGGACCAGTGGTCAGCCATTCTGACTGTAGGAAGTGGTGCTGGTTAGGTCAGCTTCTCCTCCTTCCCCCCACAATGTCAGATACAGCTTGCAAATGTTGGTTCATTGGTTCACACCCTCATTGGAGGCTGTGTGTGGTTTGGCACAAGCGGTCCCAGCATCTGAAGTATTGACCTATGAAGATGGAATCCATTGTTGTACCTGAAAGAGAAAGATGCCTCTGGCAAGTAAGGGCCTCTACGGTCTGGCTTGGCATGGGTAAGCTCCAGCGTATTAGTTGTGGGGCCCTGGGAACTAAGTAAGGTCTAAGACTTTTTAGTACTGGACTGTATTAGAGAAGACTCCAGTTGTATTAGTCCATGGAGTTGGAGTGCCCCTGTAACAAGCAGGAAGGTGATTCCATAGTGTATAGTACAATCGCTCCGCAGATATATTCCTGAGATGCTTTAAGAGTCCTACAAAACCAGCAGTGTAAGCCCTGATGAAAGGGGAACCCTCTCTCATCGAAATGTGTTGTCTTTTCATCTTTTGGTTTTTGAACCAACCTTTGGAGTGGCACTTTGCTCCTACACCTTCTAAGATCTATCTATCTATCTATCTATCTATCTATCTATCTATCTATCTATATATCTATCTATCTATCTATCTATTCTCTATGTATCTATCATTTTTCTTTCCTACACACAATAAATATAGAGACACCAGTTTTGGTTAACCTCTAACGTTTTTCTGTCTATATATATCATGAACACAGGAAATATACAGGCATCAGTTATGATCAAAGAATTCCAAGCTTTGTTCGTGACAAGGGTATTATAAGTGATCATCAGCATGGATTTATGAAGGACCGTTCTTGTCAGACCAACCTACTAACATTCTACGAGGAGCTGAGTAGAGATCGGGATAGAGGGAAGCAAGTGCATGTGGTGTACCTACATTCTGCAAAAGTGCTTCACACAGTACCACATAAATGCTTAATACACAAGCTGAGATCTATGGGCATAGATGAAATGGTGTATATATGGATAGAGAAGTGGCTACACCAACGTGTCCAGAGAGTATTGATAAATAGCTCTTTTTCAGATTGGTCTAAGGTGAAGAGTGGCGTGCCTCAGGGTTCTGTACTAGGCCCAATACAGTTTAACCTGTTTATTAACGATATCGGGGAGGGTGTCAATAGCCATGTTTCTGTGTTTGCTGACAATACTAAAATTGGGAGGGTAATAGACACAAACTTAGACATTATGACATTACAGGAGGACCTGGATGAAATAGGGGAGTGGGCAACAACATGGCAGATGAGGTTTAATGTTGAAACATGTAAAGTAATGCACTTTGGGGTTAAAAACAGGCAAGCGGAATACACATTATTGGATGCTCATCTAGTGAAGAAATGGAAAAAGATTTGGGGGTCATAATTGACCACAGAATGAATAACAGCACGTAATGTCAGGCGGCGGCAAACAAAGTGAGCAGAGTCCTGTCTTGCATTAAAAAGGGAATGTACTGTAGAGACAAGGCAATCATTTTGACACTTTATAGATCGGCCTCATCTGGAGTATGCGGTTCAGTTTTGGTCACCAGTCCACAGAAAAGATGTCCTTGAGCTGGAGAAGGTCCAAAGTAGAGCAACCAAACTAATTAAGGGGCTGGAGGATCAAAGCAACGAGACGAGGTTACTAAATCTAAACTTGTTCCCACTGGAAGTGAGGAGATTAAGAGGGGACATGATTTTAATGTACAAAATGTTTAGTGGTAATGGCAACATCTGCAATAAACTTTTTACTGTAAACTCCGTAACAAGGACTAGAGGCCACCACCTAAAATTGGTGGAGAAAAGATTTAACCACAAAGGGCGTAGGGGCTTGTCAGGAAGCCAGAGTCAGGATTCTTTCACCGCCGTTTGCGCATTCGCATGTGCATGGTGCAGCTAATAGAGTTGTATCAGGTGCAGCGTCTCTGCGTAAGCGTGCACGTCACGCGCGCGCCGACGTGTTGTTTGAGTTTTTGGCGCCCTCTGGGCTATATAAGGCCATGACTAACAAACCTCCTTTGCTATCAAATTGTCAGCTTCCCTGTGTTCCTGTATCCTGCTCCTGAAGTGTTCCTGTTATCTTGACCCGGCTTGGCTTTGACCTTTCTGCTTCTCTCCAGTGATTGACCCTCGGCTTGTTCCAGACCATCCTCCTGGCTCATCCTCTGTACCACGTTGCCTGCACGTTGATGACCTCGGCCTGTCCTGACTACCCTGCTATCCTTGTCTGCTGCTCCTGCTCATCGGATTCAGCTACTACTGGCACTCCTGCCCCTCTGTGCCCCGGTGCTCCTGTACCCAAAAATCAATTAGATACCATCCTAAGAGGCCGTAACATAAACGGGTACAGCTACACTTAAATACTAGACCACACAGGGACTCATATACACGCACGCACAACACATACACACACAAAGGTTGAACTTGATGGACCTCAGTCTTTTTTCAACCTCAAATACTATGTAACTATGTAAAACACCATGGAAATATTATAGTCATATATATTAAAGGCATATTAAACACAAGTCTGTTCCGTGCAATGTTGTAGCCCTGTGCTTATCTCCAGGCCTGTATCTGTGACACGTATACATGCAAAGGTTTTTATGGTATCTTTTCATGTTTCCTATAATCCACTGTATATGTTTGTACATGATACAAAACATTCCCGTTTTACCTTTAGCTGAAATTAAACACAAAATTAAAAAATGATAATATAATAAATAATTATAAGAAAAGAATCGTCGCTGCCGTCCCTTTCAGTGTTTGATGACGAATTTCCCAACGAATCGTTATCGCTCAATTCTGCAAGTGATTCTAATTCACTATCGCTGTTTTCTACCTGCTCTAAAACCACTTTTGACCTAAAGGGACGCTTTTTGGATGCCATGGACAATCTCAAGTTTCCAGGCAGAAAGAACAGTAAAAGTGCAGGCAGGGCACTGGACAAAATTGAAGTGAAATGATTTGATACAGTAATGTAAATCATAGCAGATTACAATGTATTGTGTGTATTCTGTGTATATTGCATGTTTTCACTTTTGAATTTCCCGCCAGGAAATTCAAGCCCTGGCCTCACAGATGCATCCTGGGAAGGCTACATCACCAGTGGCCTCCTAGGAAATCTCATCCGTAAACAATTACCGCTTTTCCACTTCCTGGCTGAGTGAGGCACTGGTGATGTAGCCCTGGCTTCACATATGCATCCGGAGAATGCTACATCACAAGCACCTTCCTGGGAAATCTCAAAAAAGATTGAAAGATCTTGGTGGGGGGAGGTATTTTTCTCCACTTAGATGATGTATACATGATGATGTCACATGTTCCAGGAGGCAGATCCAGAGTTCCAGGAAGTAAAGGGAGATGGAGCCATTGCATGCGCCTGCCTCAAGATCCTTTGCGGCCGCCCGAGATTCTTCAGATGTTTGGACGGGACACAGATAAATTTAAACCGTTTTTAAAAGGTTTTTTAAAAAAGGTTTTTGCATATATCTACTGCGTGCTAGCAGAAGATATATGCAAAAACCGCTGAGGGTTTAATAACACTTTAAGATAAGGGTCATGTTCCTCCTTACGAGAAAGAAAAGCAGCAGAAGAGGCAAACAAATGGCCATGGCTAATGCGTCCATGGCCATCAGTGCAGGATAAAAGAACAATAAAACAGGAATTATAGTTTTAGGTGGCACAATATGCAGTAATCCATTATATAATAGCACCCAGCAATGCCATACTTTCCATACCAATTAGAAATAGTGCAGAAAAAGTCTCATGTCTCCAGGGAATTGTGTATCAGATAATTTGCATAAAAATTAAACTGAGGTCACATCACACATCCGAGGTGGTTAGAGGGAAGTTCAGACTCTCTGCTGCTTATGTGTAGAATATGCTGTGCATAGACAGGCCTGCAGGGACAGCCATGCACTGTGAATACAGATGTATCATCATTAAAGTGACACTAAACTCAGGAGTTAAATCTTAAAAATACATTCAAGTACCTTAACTATTAACAAGAATGTATCTTATTTGTGTATCACTCGGCTGTAGATCCTCAAATCATCTGAATTGGTGCTGACACTGTCCTTCCTTCTGGATGGGGGCTACATTTGTTCCCCATGGTCCCTGTGTGTGTTGTAATGTAGTCAAGATTCACATAATTGGAGCTAGCAGGAGTTATTAAGCCTCCCAGAGAGGGGTGTTAAAACACCTGCTAGCTCCAATCATGCAAATTAAATCAACACCTTACCTCCATGAGGTAATCTCATTTTTTTTTATTGATGTTTCTATGGTACAGATAGTGATGGTAAATCTTCTCAATGTGACACCGAGAGCAAAATTCTAAACTGACAGAGATTCTGACCCTTCCCTAATCTATTCAAAAATGTTTTAAAAAGTTAAAATTCGCATTTACATACACTTGAAGCTGAAGGTGAATATGCTTATATTTTGTCTTCTTTGCTTTCTCCTACCGACCTTCGTTACCATGCTAATTGTACGCTAATCCACTTTCATTACATACTATTTTAGACCTAGTAGTCTCTCTGCTACTCTACTCAATACAGGCAGATCATGTTTGGTGGGAGGGGCCAGCAGGGTGCTGTACATAGCTTCCTGACAAAATCACAGTACCCTGCCTCAGTACTCCATTAGGTAGTTATGGAAACCACTAAAGCAGAGGTAGGCAAACTCCGGCCCTCTAGCCAGGGACGGATTTACTCTCTCAGCTGCCCCAAGGCCAGGTTCCTTGATGCGCCCCCCAACCCGCCAAACCCCCCCCCCCCCCCCCGGGAACAGGCGCGACATCCCGG